GGAACTCTAGCGCACCAAGACACACTATTGGCTGTGAGATCTTTGGCTTCTGAGACTGTGTTAAAGGCCCGACATTCCCAGGTTTACTTTGGGCCTGATTCGGGCTCCCTATAGTATAATTTCATTCATTTATGTAATTCATTTGATCCTGGGCTGTAATAATATTATATGTAAATAGATATTGGGGTAGTTAGTAAAAAGGGAGGGTTCATATATGATTTTGTGGGAAAATCGGGTAGAAATCATGCTTTTAGGTTTATATATGTTGATTCACGGTAGAAATCATGATTTTAGGTTTATACCATGCTTACATTCTACAATAGATATCATGCCTCTAGGTTTGCTATGCCTATTTGTATTAAAACCATGTCATAAACATGTGCATTAGATATCATGCCTTAGGATAATCATGTTCACTGCTTTGCATATTAGGTCATTAGGAAACATGTTATAGTCAACATTTTATTTCTGATTCTGCCTAAAGTCGTAATCATCTAGAAACCCTATCAATAAGTTATTAATGTAATCATGCTTAATAAAATTATGGTCTCTCTCCATGCATTAGAATTCCTGCCTTAGGACTCTATTTGCATTTGCTCTGAATCGTATCTATGTCGCTTAAACGAATAACTGTCTATAAGGAGGTTTAAAAACAGCCCCAACACATAGATATCATGTTCTAGTATAAATAAGCATGAAATCATCTTTTGTAATATTAATCGCCTAGATCAGCATGCCTATAGGATTGGATAACTTCTAGTTGTTTCAATTAGTTCTCAGAATTATGATCGCACACAGCCCATGCCTAGGCAAGCCTTAGGTAATTAATGATCTAAAACTGTAAAGTTATACTGTGCTTATTTGTAAAATTGCCCAGGTTTAACAGATTCTAAATCAGTAGGCAATTGATCTGGTTATATCACTTAGTTTTTAAAATAATGATGCATATTCTATGATACTCATCTAGATATCATGTTCTAGGGCCTTCTGAAATTTTGTAAAATCAGATGTTTGAGACGTGCTAATTATTTGTTTACATGTGGAGGTAAACATGAGCCCCTTAATTGCTTCTCTATTTGATAATCCTATATGTTCTTTGTTGTCGCTTAGATTTTACCTTTTAAATACCTTATGAGTGTCTAGAACTGCCTAAGTATAGAGGTCCTAAACACCTCCGGGACCACAAGGAAGGGACGGGTAAAGCACGCTTAGAGTTCGTTAATTAAATTCGCTTATATAACCACTAAGGGGAGGGTAATGGGTAGTTAAAATGATATGATGACCTGTGCGCTAATGTCATGTAACCCCTCTAGTTGAGGAAGGCTTATCGGGTATTGTACATATGTGATCCTGTAGGCTAACCAATTTAGGACTTCCCTTCATTAATTTATGTATGTATGCTTAGACTGTCCAAACTTCCTCAATTTACGTATGTGTGTTTAAACTGTCTAAACTTCCTCAATTTACATGTGTGCTTAGACTGTCTAAACTTCCTTAATTTGCATATGTGTGCTCAGACTGCCTAAACTTCCTTTATTTGCAAATGTGTGCTTAGACTGCTTACCTGTTAAATGACTAATTCACATGATTGAGTTCGGTCGGGACCTACCATTGTGGACCGCGAGGGGTGCCTAACACCTTCTCCTCAAGGTTATTTCGAGCTCTTACCCTAATCTCTAGTAATGCAAACTGGTTACATGAGTTAATTACTCTAGGTGCCCTAACGCATCTTAATCCGTTAGGTGACGACTCTTCAAATACCCAATTCCCAAAAGGAAACGAGTTGTTCCCAATGAATGTCGAAACCCGGATTCCGCGAGGAAAAAAAGGGGCGCGACAGCATGGCGACTCTGCTGGGGATATTTTAGGCTCTTACCATAATGAACTTATTTTTGTGAATTAGTCTTAAGCATGCTTTATCTCGTGCACCCTCCCCCTTATTTGAATTTAAATGCTTATTTTCAAGCATTTATGATTTCCTTTATTTCCTTAAACTAACTTGTCTCTTTGTTTTCTTTTTTTAGTAACTGTCTTTCAATTATTTAGATACCGCATTTATCGTTTTTTACGTGCAAATACTTGACAACATGCTATTTATTGTTGCATAAATCATGCTCAATATCATATTCCACTCGTTCATAATCAATACTATAACAACACTTGATAAGTGTTTGCGCTCTTCCTATATATCACCCTTTTAAATTCGGAAAGACGTATTTGCGGTAAAACTAGTCGATCAGCAGTGCGTTCGACGGTTCCGTGCCTTTCCCCCTCAAATTATCCGTTTGAGGGTCCCAGTATAGACCTCTATAGCTGTCACACCTCCTTTTTACCTACACCCCGTAAAGGGCAAAAATATAAGGGAGTTTTTCCAATTAAAGGACAATCGAAACGAGATCGTTTATTTATTAAAAATCAGAGTCGCCACTTGGGATAATTTATGGTGTCCCAAGTCACCAGTTTAAATCCCAAATTGAGGAAAACTGACTCTATTTACGGTCTGCGAACACAGAAATCCGCGTAAGGAATTCTGTTAACCTAGGAGAAGGTGTTAGGCATTCCCGAGTTCTGTGGTTCCAGCACGGTCGCTTTGATCATACTTGGCTTATTAAATTGTTTAATTAATCATTTTAGATCCTATGTGCATTTACCCTAACCGTTTTTAAATCACTTGATTATTCGTAGTTAAAGAATTGAGTTACGCGTACATATACTCTTTCCCTTTGGCGCGTCAAAAATCATGTCACGCGAACGTGTCCATAATTAATAATGCTTTGTTTTAAAAAAAAAAATTGGCGGAAGTAGGTGGACGTATACGCGGTCATGATAGTGTATTAAATGTGCCTAGAGCAAACTACCAACATTTGTTATATTTTATCTAGGCTATTAACACGATGGCCATGAATAATTAAATGGCACGCTTCAGAACTCTTAAAATTGATTAGTGGCCTTTTAGCAACTGTTTCTATTGTTGAAGGGAGTTGTTCGAAGTTGCGCGAACGCATACTCCAATTTATTTTTAGAAACCGTAATCATGTCACGCGAACGTGTCCACAGCCACGATAGTATTTTTAAACGGCCCTAAAGGTTTCTCTACGAATATTTGTTATTTTACGTCTATATTATGAGATTAACACAAGAAGCCATTTGTTACTAAGTGTCTAATTATGGCTCACCTCTTAATTATTCGGAATGGTCTGACTTAAATAAAGAGGAAGCCCAAAAGAACTCAAAAATGGTAAGTTAAAACTAAAGCTTAAAAGGAGATAAATAAACAAGGGGTACGTTCCTTTTGAGTCTAAACCCCATGATGTATTTGCAATTACAACACTTACGAATTGAAATATTTGGGCCAAACTCGTTAACGGACCCAGTTTGTACACACGAGGCGGAAAAGGGGAGATTCAGGATCAAGGCTTAATGCTTTATTCTCATCCCAGACCAGCTCTCTGAGTTTAGGCTCAATAGAGCCCAAATTGAAAAACGGCAGCCTCAGCCAGAAATAGGACGCAAGTTCGAATCCATACCAAATAGGAGATTGACCTTTAGCATTTCACATTTCCAATCATCAAACAAATGGACAAACTATGGGTCATGACTATTGAAGCACTGAATAAAAATGCACTTCACTGTTTTATCTTTCAAAAAGGAAACTTCTTTCCCCAACTGCTGAATAACCCCCCTAAGGCTGGTTCAAACAATTAGAGCAACGAACACTTGGGATTAACTGACCACTATAAAGTCATAATCCCAAAAATGGCTCTGTTAAGCTTTAACATTTATGGACAGACTATAATACATGAAATGACCAAGTACAAACACCACTGAACTGAATTTGACAAACTGCAGCTACCAATTATCATCCCCGAAACATTTTTTGACAGCGTATATGCTTAACCCATCACAATCAACTTGATATTAATCTATACTTTGCAAAACAGAAACAACAAAAGAGCAGATGCAACGAAACTCATACCCAAGGGCACAAAAGAAACTGCATAACTGTTTTACCAACACAATTCAGCTGAGTGTCTTTCCCAGTTCTGTTAAACTACTACGCAACTAATCAAACATTAATTATTGCAGATAATTTTCGTGTTAGCAACCTATTAGTTACAGCCATCATAATAAACAGTCACTATACTAAGTAAATACCAAATCATGGGACACGGAAACAGTAGCACTGATCTAAGGAGCCCAGACATATTGGAGCTATTTCATTTCATTCTGCAAGTCAAAACTTCATACATAGCTTTTAAATTCAGAAAATGTGTACCTGGAGAGAAAAATACACTTGAATACTTGAGAACTCACTTAAATCATTTGAGCCTTCAGAGACAACAATTTTAATTCTCAAGAACCTCAAGAACAAAGTAAAACGCTACTACAGACCAATTCCTAAATCTAGTATTTGTTGTCCATAGTTGAGTTGTAACTTTGTAATTGTTCTTCATTGTAATTCCTAAATTGCTTAGCTAGAAGCATTACTTAGGAACCCCTTTGTAAAATAATAAACCCTTTGTGTTTGTGTTGTGACTAGAGTTAGTCATGAGTTGAAGTCATTGTAATAGGTGTATTACAAAGTGGCTTTTAATAGGTGTATTACGAGTTAGTGAGGGATTAAGAGTTTAATTCCTAGATTGCATAGGTTGTAATCTAAATGTTGCTCATAGTGAAGTTGAAATCCTACTAGTGTAGGTCGTGATTTTTTTATCCCCTTGAGCAGGGATTTTTCCACGTAAAACTCCCTGTCTTATTTACTTATTGTTTTATTAGTATTCTCAGTGGAAACTCATAGAGGACCTGGTACTCTATAGTTTGGTGGACTCATATAAATTATCAATTGGTATTGGAGCGGGTTCATCCTATTAGGCTAACACCTAGGAAGGATCCTTATGGTTGCTCCACCAAATTTTGAAGAAGGTCAATCTACGTACAGACCACCCAGGTTCAATAGGCAATACTATGGGTGGTGAAAGACAAGAATGCATGATTTTGTCATGGCTGAAGATTCTGAGTTGTGGGATATCATATGTGATGGTCCTTACTTTCCAACAAAGGCAGTTGGAGACCTTTCATTGACAATGCCAAAGACCAGAAAAGAATACACTGATGCAGACAAGAAAGCTGTGGAGACACATTTTCGTGCCAAGAAAATTTTAGTGTGTGGAATGGGACCTGATGAATACAATAGAATCTCTGCTTGTGAAATTACCAAGGAGATATGGAAAGCTTTGCAAATAGCACATGAGGGAACCACTCAAGTAAAGCAATCTATGATTTATATGCTCACTAGCAAGTATGAACTCTTTAGGATGAAGGACGATGAATCTGTTCAAGATATGCACACAAGATTCACCTCCATCATAAATGAGTTACACTCACTTGGTGAACTCATTCCTAGGAACAAGCTAGTGAGGAAAATTCTTAGTATCCTGCCCAATTCTTGGGAAATCAAGGTGAATGTTATTACTAAAGAAAAGGACCTGCAGGAGCTGACCATAGACGAGCTGGTTAGAAATTTGAAGACCTACTAGATGAAGAGGAAAATAGACAGTGAAAGAAGAGAACCAAAGAAAGAAAAAAACCTAGTACTCAAAGCTGAAAGCAATGACTCGAGTGAGGAGGACAGTGACATGGCTTACTTAACCAAAAGGTTTTAGAAGATGGTCAGAAGAAATGAAGGAATACTGTTAAGGGGAAACTCCAGCAAACCAAAGAACTATGATCTATACCACAAGTGTGGAAAGCCTGGGGACTTCATCAAAGATTGTCCTCTCCTGAAGCAAGAACACTCCAAGTACAACCCTAAGAAAGTAGCCAAGAGGAATATGATTCCTGACAAGCACTTCAAAAGGAAGAGATCTGCTGACAATGTGGTAAAACAGGCTCTTGCAGCATAGGGAGACTCCTCTAGTGAGTTTGAAGATGAAACTGATGCAGGTGACAACTCCATGATGGAAGTTGAAAATGAGGAAAATGAATATGATTTAATATTTTCTTTGATGGACCAATCAGATGATGAAGACGAGGACAACAGTGAGGTAAATTTGAAGGATGTTCAGAGAAATCTGAAATCCTACTCTCCTAAGAAACTCATATCTTTAGCTAGCGTATTGATTGATGCCTATCATAGCCTTGTGGAGGATAAGGATGCCTTGACCTTAGAGCTAGGAGAAGCTGAACAAACTAGAGATGATCTGGTAGTATGTGTAGTTGATCTGAAGGAAACAATTTGTGAGCTAGAGAAAGAAAAATTTGTTTTAACCGAAAAAATTGCTAACATAGAACATAAAAGAGATGACTTAGTGGTTATAGTTGTTGACTAAAACCATTAAGAACTTCAGTAAGGAAAATGAGGCCTTAGTGAAGAGAGTGACTGAGATTGAGGAAGAAAGAGATGATCTCTTGATAGTGATTGCAGACCTGAGGGAAACAATAGAGGGGCTAAGAACTGAGTCTAAACATGGAAATATTAGAAAAGGAAAAGAGGTAGCTAGTGAGGCATACATTAGGCTTGAAAACGAGTTAGAGGCTGCCGGAACTAGCCTGTATGTTGAAACTAAGAAAAACAAACATCTCCAAACAGAACTAGAAAGAGTAAAAAATGATCTTGAAAAGTCCCTAAAGTGGACCTGGTCCTTAGAAGCTATCACTGTCGTGTATGTTAATAATGGTGGAAACAGGCAGGGAATAGGGTTCCAAAGGGAGAAAACCCCTTACAACCCCAATATCAAGTATGTTATTATATCGGATAACTGGTTGTGTACCCACTGTGGGAACAATGGGTATTTCAAGGAAAATTGCCAAGCCATGGTCCAGTCTATTCAGAAAAACAAAGTGTTTGCTGAAAATGTAACTACTAAAAAGGGACCAAGTGCCACACACAAAAAACGCATATTACCTGCATGGACTAAGAGAACTCTTATTCCTCCTCTTTCCTACTACAAGGGACCCAAACTTGTTTGGGTTCCTAAAACTAACTCTTGATTTCCTTGTGTAGGGAACAGTGAAAGGAAGTAGTCAGCAATGGTTCATGGATAGTGGATGTTCAAAGCACATGACTGAGAACACCATGTACTTCCTTTCACTAAAAGCCCTACAAGGAGGGAGTGTATCCTTTAGCAATGGGAAAAAGGGGTACATTCTTGGAGTTGGAAAAGTCGGGAAATTACTTAGTCACTCAATTGAGAATGTGTACTATGTCAATGGTCTTAAGTACAGTCTCTTGAGTGTTTCTCAGATATGTGATAAGGGAAATAAGGTGGAGTTCTTGTCCAAGATATGCACAGTTACTAATTTGGTAACTGGTGAAGTGGTACTTGTGGCTAAGAGATACAAAAATATCTATGTTGCTGATTTCGAGTCTATACAAAGTGGTGATTTGAGTTGTCTGAAAGCTATTGATGATGATGTTGAACTCTGGCACAAAAGACTGAGGCACGCAAGCTTTTCTCTTCTGAATAAACTAATTCAGAAGGTCCTGGTCCATAGTCTTCCCATGTAAAAGTTCAAACTAAAGAAAGTCTGTGATGCCTGTGCTAGAGGGAAGCATGTGAAGTCCCCATTTAAGTCTAAAAAAAATGCCAGCACCTCAAAGCCACTCGATCTTCTTCATATGGATTTATGTGGCCCTATGAGAGTGCAAAGCAGGGGAGGAAAAAGATACATTTTTGTGGGATGTTTTGTTGTAATACTCTTGTTAAAATGCCTTTGATGATATCACTTGAATGATATAAGCACTTGGTTGGTCAAAGGACAAGTGACTGCAAAACTGCTACACTGTGTGTACTTTTTCTGTGGCAATCACTTTCCAGCTATGCACAGTTGACTTTTGTACCGCTGTCAGGGAAACACAAGGGATCAAGTCCCTATCTTGTTTCTTTATTTTCTACACTTGCAGCAGTTCACATTAGCTAGAGTTCTGGATGGAATCCGTTCATTAGCAATGTATACCAAGTGTGTCAGGTTCCCTATCTGGTTCTTGACAGTAAGTTTGTTAGATCATCAAAACATAAGGCAAAGATATTGAAAAGCCATCAATCAGGCTAACAAACTTGATAACTATGCAATCACTTACTCTTAGTTTACAAGAATTAGGACTCTTTGTATTAGCTATCCTAGAAGAGTCCTACTCTATGTAGTATAGCCAAATATAGGATGAATATTCTGTATAAATACATAGGACTCGTGTAACTGAAAATACATCAACACACTGCCTTCTTGACTTTGTCACTGCACTGCCTTCAGGCCTGCTGGACAAAACAACAATCAAAACACTCAAGGATCTGGAAATGCTGTTAAGGGACATGAAACCATAACAAACCACATGATCATCAGCCTATCAGATATGTGGCGGGAACAATCACATTGCAATAAAGTGCTTCTACATATGGGACTTCTTCTATCAAGAACCAGAAGATTTGCCACAGACTCTTGCTACACTTAATGTGAACAGTCAGAGTGGTGGAAACAATGCTCACTATATGGATTCTGGAGTAAGCACTCACATGACCAACAATTCAGGTAACTTATCCAATCTTAAACCTTACAATGGAAATGATAAAATTATAGTAGGAAATGGACAAGAACTGGATATCACACATGTTGGAAAAGGAATAATTTCTGGTTTAAGGATGAGTTAAGTGCTAGTAGTTCCTAAGCTCAAAAAGAATTTGTTATGCGTAAGTAAGATTACTAGAGATAATTGTTACTCCATTGAGTTTGATGAATCATCTTTTGTTGTGAAGGACACGAGGATAGGGAAACTAATAGCCAAGGGTGCTAAAAGAGGAAAGATATATGCCTTGAAGGTGGACAACCTGCTTGCGTTGAGTGCAACACAGGCAAGGAGAAGCTCTAGTGATATTTGGCATGCCAGACTTGCGCATCCAAATTCTAGGTCCTTAGAAGTACTTAGTAAAAATAAGTCTATCAATGTCACATGTTGGAATAAAACTCCTATCGGTGTTAGTTGTCAAATAGGAAAAGGTTGTAAACTACCATTCAAGTTGAAAAATAAAGTTGAGAATGAACCTCTATTGAAAATTCACTGTGACTTATGGGGTCCTGCTCATGTTGAATCTTCCCATCATATGAAATACAATGATTTATTTATTGATGATCATAGTAGGTATACTTGGTTGTATCCTTTAAAAAGAAAATCTGACTTCCTTGAAATATTTGTCAAATTTCACAAAATGGTTGAGAAATAGTATTCAAAGAGTATCAAGATAATGTAATGGTGGAGGTGAATTTTCAAGTTCTGAATTTGTTAAGTACTTAGAAGACTGTGGCATTGTAAGACATATTTCCTATTCTCACATTCCTGAGCAAAATGGCATTGCAGAAAGCAAATATATACATGTAGTTGAAACTGGATTGACACTACTACTACATGATAGGTTACCTTTATATTTATGGACTGAAGTATTTCTCACAACAGTATTCCTGATAAACACCATTTGTGCTTAAAAAGGAAACACCATTTCATAAATTGTATGGTTCATACACTACAAGAAAAAGGGCTTTTAGGGGCGACAAAAGCTGCCACAGAAAGTTTAATTGTCGTCACAGAATACCTTTCATGGCGACGACGTGGCGACCAAGTGGTCGTTGACTATACTAAGTGGCAGATACTTATTGGTAGCGACTTATAATGGTCGCCACAAAAGGTCCACCTTTCGTGGCGACATTTGTCGTCACAAAACTTATTTTGGATTGCCACTAGAATTCACTTTAGAGAATCCATCGCCACTAAATGCTAGCCTTTGGTGGCGACGCATATCGCCACAAATCGTTGGCGGCAACTATGGGTGCAACCAAAGCCTGTCTTTGGTGGCTACTTTTGTTGCTACTAAAAATTACATTTTAGTGACAACTTGGTATTACCACCAAATCTCCATTTTTTGTGGCATTAAAATGTCGCTACTAATTATATTTTCTTTTAGTGGCAGTAGGTTATAATCACAAAAGCTCTTATTTTTCGTCACAACACAAGTTTTCCATAAAAGAAAATATAAAACTACAAATATTTGTACAACCCGATAACAATTCTCAAAATAGAATTGTAGTCCTTTTAATGTTAAAAAATCTACACAGTCAAAAGTAGTCAATGTGTATACATTGCCATTTCACGACATTAACAAAAAAGAATAGTCTTCAAGACGTACTCCAATGTCTTCTACGATAAACAAAATGACCATAAAAATATCTTCAAACTACACCTTGAGCAGCTTCACTTCCTCGTTCTTAAAGTATCTTGTCCTTGCTATTAATAAATAAAGATAAACATCATTAATATACGCATATGTACAAAACATTAAAAGACTGTAAGTTTGAAGAGAAAATTAGCCGAAAAGAGCGAGAAGAAGTAAAGCAAAGAAAGGTATTTCTGGAAAGCTTTTAAAATCCCACGAGCAATAACCTTTTAAAGTTTCACAAGCAATAACTTTTAACTCTAAGATTTCTGAATTGACCATTCAATCTCTGGGCTGCAACTCAACAGCAATTAAATGCAAGTTAATTTTTGGAGACATTCCTAACTAGAATAACCAAGGTTAGATTGGAAAAGTGTAGTAGTGATGTATCAAGAATTTTTATTACAACGTTACCTTGAATTTTGGACTCCCAAAAAGTCCTACAAGAAACACCCAATCCTCAGACGTAACATCATCCCGCCTATGAGCCAGTCTCTCTTTATCAGTAGTATAGAGATCGTATTCTTTATGCAATCGACTCTTCCATGCTCTAAAAAGCCTTCGCATAGTGTCAACAACAAGAGCTTGCAACACATCTTCTCGCATACCACTAACTTCAAATTTATCCTAAAACAAATATGTATAGCTATTGAAAGTAAATAAAATGTATGATATAAAGTCAATGTGATATTGAAAGTAAATTATTACCTTAACCTTCAACCACACCGCTTCTCCATGTTTCGCAATTATTGCTTTCTAATCACCATCTCTGAATGAGATAGTGCTCCGCATAATCAAGCCATGGTAGTTTACAATATCTCTAGACTCTGGACCTACAGCTCTCACAATGTCATCCGGAATGATGATGGGAATTTTACTGTCATACTTAGTTTTCATATCCACATGTAGAGATTTGTATCTCCCTCTGCCTTTCTTATTATCTCTGTTTTCACAAAGATTACCTTCACAAGAATAAGAAAATTTCTGTCATACTCACTTAATAAGTAGATTTATTCTACATGACTTTAATTGTTCATGGTTAGATCATACAAAATGATTTTAGGTTCAGAATTTGAAAGAGTGAAAGCTGGGATCATTTAACCATTGATTTGTTCATGATTAATTGCAAAACAAGAACTTTCCACACACCCTTTTATTAGTTTTATTTGACTTTAGATAGAACTGTTTGAATTGGCTTGAAAATTTTAGAGTAATTAACACTCTTTCTTTCTATTTTGCGGAGACAGGCCAATTGAGAATAAAGACATAATGTTATGGTATACATTAGGTTTCCATCATATTCCATGTCAAGAGGACTTCCCAATTATGCCAACAGTATCATCAAGTTTTGAGATAAAGCCAGTGAATTTCTTTGAGAGCAATCCAATTCTGAGGATTCCACCTAATTCTCCAAATGACCTGCCAATTTGCAAAGCTGCTGCTTCTGCTTGATGATCAGTTACACACTGAATAGTGTTCTTTCTCTTGTCAAATGTGCATAATATGTAAAAATGAACGCGATAGACTTGGATTCCGGGTACCTTAGTCTCAAAATTTCATGAATAAAAAGTGAACTAGTTAGTTAATTAGTTGCAATTTCATTTCTGATGATGTTGAAGTAGGCAAAAGTTGTGTTTGACGGGGAATCAAACACAAACAATGGAACTTTGAAAAATTAAGCTATATGAGACTATTATGACACAGTTTGTATATTCATATAGAACAATACTATGGCCTAAATATGTCAATTTGCAATAGATACAGGTTAATTTCATATGAAACGGCGGAGTCGAAGCAATTGCAACTTTGAACAAGTGAAGCAACAGTATAGCCATGGTCAATTCCAGAATGGCTGAAATAAAATATGAAGTTATCATGCTTGATTTTACAATGTCAAAGCAGGAGATTAACATTATCGTATAGGCATAAAACATCTAAATTCATAATGACCAAACAACTTGTACTCCTTTTATTAAAACCTTTCCCCACCAAGTCTCTTCTTACTTGGATTCTTGTCTTGAATGCAGTATTTCTACACCCTTTACAAGGACACCGAATTAAAGAGCTCACATTTGGTTGACTGTATGCCCAACCAAGAAAGTCATTTATTCCTTTAATATACCTTCTGTCACATCTATCCCTAATATTCAACCAACTTTTATCCATATCTTTTCTACAAAAAGAAATGCAATCAATTAACCAATGAAAGGGAATCAATAATCAAAACAAACCAATTATAAGCAAGTATTGAACTCAATGATTCTATACAAGTAGAAATCAATAATGGAAACACAAGCTATATAAATAATGTTTGAGCTGAATAATTCTACACACGTACACACTAGGATATAAGACATCAATTTTTTTATAATCATGAGAATACATTAGATATGCTAAAAAATAATTAAATACCATAAAATGATCTTATAGAAGACAAGTCCCAAAAAAAAAAAAAATCAATTCAATTGTCATGTAAGGTTAGACTAAGTTTATTTTCCCTTTCTCAAAAAGTAAAGAACCTCTTGTCTAACTTTAAATGTCATGACTGAACACTCATTAAGACCAACTTTGTAAGTGCTACGTAGTTTGAAACATATAGATTCTCCCAAATATATTGAATTTACACCTATCACAGAAGTAAGATCACAAGAAATCTGAAACCTTCCGCCATTTTAGTAACTTTATCATCCTCATCGGATTATTTCAAGACACAATTATAACAGTATCCAAGAGTTGTCTGATGCACACAGTTTCTTTTCCTCTAAAAAAAGGCAAACCTGAAAAGAGAACTAATTGTTGCGATGAGTACACAATGATTTAATTGGGCAATCTATTCTTTTATCTGAAGCTATTCAGGCTTTTTACATGAGTGATTTCTCTCTGTATCAAATACTACCAAACATCATCCCTGGAATACAAGACTTGTAAATGGAATCAATAACTTCACAATCAATTCAATGGTTCTATTTATTTATTTTTATATTTATGGAAGCTGCGGTTTTAAGTTCCATATTTATCTAAGAGCTAAAGAAGCTTACTTGAGCTAAAATTCATTTTATTCTTTGAAAAATATACCTAGCTGGTGATTTAGCAGTTTTCTCTTCTTGTCCATTTGACTTTTTTTTCCTCCTTCAATGCAGATCTAAGTTCTAATTTCAACCATTTCTCTCGCTATGTTTCCTTTTCAAGGGATAGAGATAGAAAACTGTTTATTTTTTCATATTTTGGCTTTATTCTCAAGGGTAGTTCTTGTTCATCTTGACATCTGAAAGTTTCACTTTTTGGATCTGCTCTTTCTGTTTAGGTCCAAAGTTAAAGCATTCAGACTCCATAACATAAGAAAATTTCACTTAAAAATAATAGTGCCAAAGCATTCTTCATCTACATAATGAATTAGCCACCATTTCTTTAGAGATTGGAAAAGAAAGTAGAGTATGTGGAGTCAA